AGCAGGACGTTGGGCACCGCGACCGCGACCACCACCGGCAGATGCTTCCTGGGGCTCAGAGCTCTCCCCTTGATGTGGTTGATCAGTTCTCTTCTTCCTTACCATCTTGGCGACTGCATTTACAGACACATCAACAAAATAAGCTTAAAAAAAAAAGAAAAGAAAAAAAAGCCCTGTAAGATATAGATGTTGCAAGGAAGCAACCCAATCACAGACAGAGGAACCGCTGCTAACAAAACACAACAAGGAAAACGGGGGAAAGAAAAGGCAAATAATCAAACTGTAAAAGAGAATCAAGAAAACAAAAGGAAAAGAAAAATCGAAACCAAAAATCTACTGTTTAGCATAAGTCCAGTACTGGAAAACCACAAATAATCGCGACAATTACTCTCCAAACAAAGGAAGAAACAAAACAACAAAACGAAAACCCTAGAGAGAAACTTTCTCAGAAAACAAACAGCACAAAAATCACTCCAACAAGGTCTAAATAATGCACGAGATCTACGATCTAACACAAAAGCAACAAAACACATAGAAAAAGAATAATCAAAACGGAACCCTCAAAATAGATCGGAGAAAGAGAACCCTAGCTGCTCAAGGCCAAAAAGCTCAAACAGATCCAAACCCACTCAGACACCTCCAAAACAACAAAATCAACCAAAAGCGAGTGAAAATCTCCGTCACATCAAAGAAAAAATGGCAACGAAAGAGAGAAAATGGACAATGGCAGAAACCCTAAAACCGCCAATCCATAACCAACCTCGACAGAAACGGCCCTAGGAAAACCGCCTTCACCGTCCCGGAACGCAATGGCGTCAAAAACGCAGCCAATCGAGTGTACGACAGAACAACACTCCACTCTCTCCGCTTTTTCGAGAGAGAGAGAAGGAAAGAGAAACGAACAAGAAGACGAAGAACCAGAAGAGAGAAATTAAATAAGTGTTTTTTTTTTTTTTCCCCTTCCTTTTTTGATCTTTGCGAAAACCCCAACATTGTCATCCACACTCTATTTATATATAGAGGGGAAAGCAAAAGGTAGGTCTTTGAAAATGACACCTCCGTCTCTCTCTTCTCTCTCTCTCTCTCTCTCTCTCTCTCTCTCTACTGTCTCTCTCCTATTATTTTTTTATTTTTTTTCTTTGCTTCGACTCATCACTCTCAGAGTGTTGTTGACTGGGCCCCACAAGTCACTGTCCTATCAGGGTTGTCCAGCGTGGAATATGACGTGGTATTTTGCAATATGGGGGAGATTTTCCATTTCTTTTTCCTCTCCGGTCTCCACCTTTTGAATTTTTATTATCACAATGAAAAATTGCCAATAATAACGCAGTAATTTGCTGAGTATGATGTTTATTAATAGTGCTAAGCACTATAACAAGTTCTATCTTATTAAGGCCTATCATGGCCATGGATGGAATCTGCCCTTCTACATTGGTTGAATACAAGAATTATATATTTGTTTACAACTTTCATATTGAACTTATATATTGTTTTTTTTATCAAAAATAAAAGAAAACTTGCATATTGATTCATATACTATTTTCTTTTCAATAAATATGACCTTAAAAAAATTAAAACCTCGTTCATTTCACCGATTCGAGTTTTTAGTTTTAAGTTTCTACAGTTCAAAGTTCTTAAAAAATATCACATTTAACTTTTTTTACTACACTTAAAAGCTCTCAGAAAATATCACATCTCAACTTGAATTAAAAACTCAAATTCTCATAACAACAACTGATAATATTTTAAAAGAAAAAAAAAGTAATGAGAAAAAAATCCATCATTTAGTACATAGTGGTAATATTAGGTCTCGTTTGCTTCGCGGATTCGAGTTATTTTCTGAGAGCTTTTAACTGTAGCAGAAAAAGTTAGATGTGACATTTTTTGAGAGTTTTTAACTGTAGAAACATAAAATTGAAAACTCAAATTGATAAAATGGACAAAACTTAGTGTGTTAAATGATCACAATAAAACTTTTAACCCAACTAAGCACAACTGGAAGGAACACTCTAGTCTCCAACCAAAATAAATAAATAAATAAATAACAACTATCCATTATGGAGATGGAAAATTGTCTCTTTTCCTATTAAAGTAATAGTTAAAGTTATGTTGAGTGGATTATTAGCAGATAAATGAGAATAATGGTGAATATGGTCTTGTGATAGTGCTAACCACTATAAAATTGTATCTAGTCATATACATTATCATATGTTGGGTACAAATAATGGATTTACACTTTACATATGGCAAAATATAAGATTGACATTGGTCACTATGATAGGAAAAATTACATAAATAAACATTTAAAGGTTTTTTGTTGGAAATGGTGTCTTAAAAGAATAATGATTTTATTATTTATGTAATAAAATAGAAATTTATTATTTTACGTACATATATTATTGTATACTTTATAAATATCATTAAAAATTCAATGATTATTTACGTGAGCTTAAATATTATATGTAAAATTCAACGATTATTTACGTGAACTTAAATACTAGAGGATAATATGTAAAAATCTTTAATTAAAACATTATTTATACATGTTATTGAGATCAAACGAACTTATCTGTGTCATTGATATAGATTGATATTAAATAAATGTATTTTACATATTAAGATTATGTAGAATTGAGACAAGACATATGTACCAACCCAATTTTTGGACCGTAACTTAGCTTACTTAAACATGATTATCTTTACTTAAAACCTTGTTAGACTTAGCTCATATTCTTGATTCCTAAAATTTCAGGGAAATTTTTTCTTTAAAAGCTATCTTCATATATTCGTTCTTACTTGTTCACAAATATAAAGACGAATTAGAAGTCTTATAAAAGTGAATCCCAACTTTATAGAGAATAGAATCTCCTAAAATCGTGTAGTCGTGTCATGCTTCGCATATACCATAGATCCATGTATATAAATAAATATAAATATACTAGAAAACTTACTCTTAGATTTTGAGGTAACTAGTAGTTTGAACATAATACACTGTTATACTTTGAATAAATGACTATTAAAATTCTTTATAAGATATTATAAGATTACCCGATTAATAGACTAAGCTCAAATAAATAAATTTTTAAAACTTATACTGGTTATCACAATGCGGGAAAATACTTTAGTGCGGAAAATATAATGTGTAGTGGTATCTAAACCCTTGCCCTCATCGCTTTGTGCCGGCTAGGCAATCCATCAAGTATTTGTAGTGCAGGAATTATCCTAAATTGCCTACAACATGAATAATTTAGTGAGCACAAATATTCCTCACAAAAATATTTTTCACATAATAAAATCATCCATTTAAAATACATGTACAATCATCCACTAAAATGCATGTCCATTTATGCTTCATTATGGAATATCCAATTATTATTTATTATAGGATGTCCATTTATTGATGTTGGGCTCTGTGCTCATACCAATGCGCGTGATCATGAGGAGTCGGGAAAGTGACCTAAACCTTTAGTCCGACTATCTCAAGATCTAAATTAATTCTACTGTTGACCTCCCTTTTAGAATCGAAGGATAATTAACCTCCCTTTTGACTCTAGAGATCCAGTAAGACACTTAAACTATATTTTCATTACATTGTTCTTTTACTTAGGTGAACATGCAATGTTGATCATGTCACGTAAGTATTTATCATTTTCATTACATGAGCCTTTTATTATATGTGAATATGCGATTATGATAATGTTACAAAGTAATTAATAACATGTGCTCTAAAAAGAGGCAATATAATATTTCCATCATGTTCACCTTCATTGATGCCACAAAGTATGTTATACAAATACTATAAAGGGTATACATCATATCACAGAGAAGAGAAACAAACAACATTTCAACATTTCCTTTAAATACATATGCATTGTGTTCTTCATACATGTCACAAGGTATAACCATTTATAATTTACCTTGTAAGACATACTTTACATCATCATTTATGCCACAGAAATATATTATTGTAAAATACTATATGGGCATAATACTTGGCATTCATATCACAAAGAATATACGCAGCGCAATTAAACAATCAATTTCTCAAACATAACATTTTGAAACAATTCATGCTGTAGGTGAGGTTTGTACTCAACAAACGGAAGGTCAGATAGTGCATTGGTTACAATCTTTCCGGTGCGTGCGTTGTACAGCGCATCAGAACCTCTGCCCACACCAGCCTATCCACGAATCATCGCTTGCCACGTCGCCCCCGCGTCAACAGGTCTACTCCCAACTCTCCAACTCCGGTGCTCTGCAGCTCACTTTAGTATTGCCAAACTTAGATGCCATGCGACCGTATTTTGTGTCATAGAATGGAGGTGGTCATTGAATGTTGTCCATCATTTGTTCCCAACAACATACGGTTGGATCTACTTTGAGCTAAAGTACTGTCGGACTTTAGACAATTAATTGCACGATAAGTTTATTTTCTTTATCATGTCTGTGATTAATATAACGAATTAGTTAAATGATTTATTTTCTTTAATTATTAAGACGCTACGTGATTGAAAGAACACAACAACCGTTGAAGTTAACAGCAACGAGCCCAACTTAAACAAAATTTTTCTGTCTAAATGTACGTATTGTAAATTTCATTAATAAAATTATTCAAATTATTTTAAAAATCCATGAAATTATATATGTTATTGTTTTATGAATGCAGGTACTTCGCATGTCATTACATGCGCGATGTAATGCTTATCAATGTTAACTGGCTAAGGTAAAAAATTATGCTAATGCCAATTTAATAAAACTGTTAGTAGAGTGAGGATATTTTGAAAAGGGCCACATTCAAACGTGACAAGTTGTGTATAAATATTAATTGAATAAAATTTGTTTTACTCGTATTAATGTTACTATAATATTTTTTTTTATATCCGTGAACTATAAATTGTAGGCAAAACACACGGGAATAAAAAGGCTACTAGTAGAAAAACGTAAAAAACAGAATATTTTTGGGTGCAGTTTCTGATTTAACGACGGTTTTCTGTGTGAACCGTCATTAAACATACATCTTAGACGGTTTTTTTTTTGTTTTTTTTTGTAAAACCGTCATCTAATATTCACTTATGCGCGCTAAAAACAAATGTTACTGTCAAAATTACATGACGGTATCTTAAATAACCATCGTTTAATGTTTAACAACGGTTATAAACTGTTGTGAAACGTCTCAAAACTTTAACGACTAACAATACGACGATGGTTATGATTACCGTGGTAACTTATAACGACGGTATTCTACTAGTGTTCCTATGCCTCAACTCGCAGACTTGAGAACCACAAATGTAACATCTAGCAAATGCATTATTTCTAGAAACTTCTCGGTTCTTGGGTGCTTCAGCCATGGCATCAAGGCTTGTATAAAGGTGGAAGAGAAAGAGGGGAGTCAAATATAAGCAAATTCCCATGATGACATCTAATTATTTAAAATGACAAATAATAAGCCTCCACAAAATCATAATCTTGTCATGCACTTTTCTTTAAAATAAATATAATAACTTAATATTGCCAATGGGCAATAGCCTGTATCCCCATAAAAGACCAAGGCCAAATGCAAGATTGCAGGGCTCAAAATGAGAATTTCTGTTGCAGGTGAAACCTGAAATTTGACAAGCCACTAAAAGCACAAAATTACCCTTGCCTGATTGAGTTGTTTAATATTGAACATCAAATTATATATGCCTACTTTCTGACCTCAAGGGTTCATGGGATTGATCAAGATGGAAGCTTGCTATGCAACTCTGAATCTCTATAGATGTGCCACTTCTGGTATCTCTGATGCCCCGGTAGAACAGGTCGAAGTCGAGGAGCAGTCGTGCAATTCGGGCAGCAACAACCCCTTAACTCCTTCACACAGTCCGTGCAGCATCTGAAATCAAAAATGCATACGTGGAACTATTATGATATAATTAAATAAACATTAGTCCAATGCCATCAATCTAGCAACAAAAGAAGTTTAATAACCAAGCTGAAAGTGTAAGAATATTCAGTCTTATTTAGTTGAAGAAGAAATGATTTTGCTAAAACGAAGTGGAAAAGCTGCTTTAGTATCTCTATAAAGATTCTGGTAGCCGCGTCTAAATGTAGGATGGTAGAAAGAGGAGATCTTAGAGACGAAGGGAGAGAGAGCAAGAACTTTTTCTCTCTTTTTTTGAAAGAAGAGAACAAGAACTTAAGACGAGGGAATCTAGAATCTCAATATTCATTTACCAGCCAAGTATGAATTGAAAATACACAATCTCTAGACCTATTTTTAGAGAAGTAAAACATAACAATAAGATAAACTCAACCTAATTTTGACAAAACCGAAACACTCTTTAAGTTCAAAACCAACTATGAAAAATTAAACATATCCTAATATTCATTAAAAGAAAAAGCCTGAAAATGAAATGACAAAAAGCTTACAGAAAAAGAAGGTTGCAGTCAAGATTTGCACAGTTCCTATGCCTCAACTCGCAGACTTGAGAACCACAAATGTAGCATCTAGCAAATGCATTATTCTTAGAAACTTCTTGGTTCTTGGTTGCTTCAACCACCGCTTCAGGCTTGCACGAAGAAGGTGGGAGAGAAAGACGAGAGTCAAATACAAACAGATTCCCAGTCCATTTGACTGGACCTTCGTTTTTCAGATAATGAGAGACACCACCCTCTAAGCTGAACAGATTTTGAAAGCCTCTCTGCCTGCAAGATGAAATTAAACACCCTAAGGTCTGAGAAGGAAAAAGCATTCAGCATTCTAACAATAACAAATGTTAATTCCTTTCCCGCACAACTGTTCCATTATTACATGAACTCTCTCTATGTGGCAGGTAATTTTATTCAACGGTAAGCAAACGGAATGATTCCAATTGCTCAAGTATAAATATCAAATGGGAAATTATGCAGGCCAAATGGAATGCTACAAAAAATAGTACCCCACCATTCACTTCACGATCAGATATTGTGTTCACTGTGAGCGTTGTCAACCAGTCTATGCACTCTCCTTGTCAAAATCATATGAAAGTCTTATCGAAGATCCTACAGTACTTAAAGAAAGTATTTGAAACGCACTTGATGAAAGGATTTATCCTTATCAAAAAAGAATAACCTTCGAGAAGAGTTGAAGGCCATTTAAAAAGGTGATGTCGGATTTTTTAATATTGTATAATAGACATAAGCCTTTGGTTCCGTATAAGTACGTGAGAAGGAATAGATGGGCATTGGTTTGAGAGTTAGTTGGCCCCAAGATTCTATAAGTAATGAGTAGTTTTTGTAAGGCAGTTAGTGACTCTGTGGAGTTGGTTAGAGGGAATTTGTTGTATAAATGGGGGAAGTACAGGAAAGGTAGGGGCAGGCATTATTTTGGGAAAATACAATACATCTATATAAACCCATCTCTTCCTCATTCTTTTCCCGCATCAATATGCACTATGGCTTTATGTATCCTAACTTTCGTATTGATATCCAAATGTCTGACCAATCTAATAAAGAACTAAAAATTAAAGGAGACAACAAGTTATAAGATGAAGAGCAATCTTGTTAGAGAACTTCGTATTTAGAATGTATATATGTTACCGCAAGCGTAATTTGAAGTTTGGGTTTTGTAGCTCCAAAGTACTCCTGGCAGACTGTTCATAGTCCAAACTAGGTTTTATCCATTAAACAACCTACAGAAGACCTGAAGAAAAAAGAACAGACCTTGTTCTCCAATCTAGTGCATCCTACCACCAGTGATGCGCACAACTTTTCTAGGTTTATTTGATTTTCATATGGAGGTCAAACTCCATATTGTAATGCTGACAGATCCCAGCATGTAACTTTTGTTAAAAGCCCATGCACTGTAGATTAGAGTCGACAAAACTTCATGAGGGATCGAGTTTGTCATCACATAACAAAAGATCCTCGTTGCAGATTTGAGTCTGTTAAGCTCTTATTCACGGTTAGTAGTAGTGAGACAGAATTGCTAGGAAAAACTAACGGAAGCTTGATTTGTATTAATGGCGGAAGATTGGTTACAAGTAGATAAGGGGATTTTCGAGAGATCCCTTGCTCTCCTAAGATTTCCACTTCTCGGAAGTATACAAAATGGTTCGATCCCCCACTACTCTACCTCCTGCTCTATTTATTCTACTCAGCCTTATTCCCCTCACTAATTCCAATACTAACTAACTAGTAATTGCCTAACTAACTAGTAACTGCCTGCTGACTCAGCCACTCCTATTTCCTCTTCCCGAGTTCCTTCCTCCACGTCAGCAACCACTTGAGTTTCAGCTGCAAACCTTGGCTCGTGGTGGCGTTTCCTCCGAGCATATGTAAAACGCACGGGGGGCTTATCATTACCCCCGCCCCAAAGACGCACCTTGTCCTCAAGGTGAAAGTGAGGAAATCGTGCATCAATAGCATCATACGACTCCCACGTATCTTCATGTTCCGGCAATTGAGCCCAACGAATCAACACCTCTAAATCAGAACGTCCCCCATGAGACGTGTGTCGCACCCCAAGCAGATCAGCCGGCTCTGCGCACAACTCCAATTCACCGGTCAGCTGGGGTGGCAGAGACGAGTGGGCCTGCCCTTGTCCAACCACCCGACGTAGCTGAGAAACATGAAACACCGGATGAATAGTCGCTGAGTCTGGCAAAGCCAAACGATAAGCGACTGGCCCCACGCGATGTATAATCCGAAAGGGACCATAGAAACGCGGACTCAACTTCTCATTACGGCGGCGAGCCAATGAAACCTGACGGTAGGGACGAAGCTTAAGATACACTAAGTCGCCCACAGCAAACTCCACATCTCGCCGTTTACCATCTGCAATCGCTTTCATCTTCTGTTGAGCCCGAAGGAGATGGAATTTGAGTAGATCTAACATGGCATCTCGATCTTGTAGTTGGCGCTCCACGGAATCCACAGGTGACGACCCCACACTGTACCGCAGCAATGGTGGAGGCAAACGGCCATAAACCGCTTGAAAAGGAGTCATGCGTGTGGCAGTATGAAAAGAAGTATTGTACCAATACTCGGACCAAGCCAACCACTTATTGCACTGCTCGAGCTTATCGAAAGTAAAGCAACGAAGATACGTTTCCACACTCCTATTAACCACCTCGGACTGGCCATCGGTCTGTGGATGGTACGCCGTACTGCGCGAGAGGGTAGTACCCATCTGTTTGTGTAAGTCGATCCAAAAATGGCTAAGAAAGACTCGGTCCCGATCCCGAAACAATGGAGCGAGGGACCCCATGTAGCCGAACCACCTCCCGAACAAACAGAGTTGCAACCTTCTCTGCGGTAAACGGATGGCTTAAAGCAAGAAAATGGCCATACTTGCTCAAACGGTCAACAACCACTAGGATTGTATCGTAGCCCTCCGAACGGGGTAGGCCCTCAATAAAATCCATCGATACATCTTCCCACACCTGTTCCGGAATAGGTAAGGGTTGCAGTAACCCTCCCGGGGCCAAAGTGGATGCCTTACACCGTTGACATATCTCACAACGGCCTACATAAGCAGTAACATCTCGTTTCATTCCTAACCAAAACCAGTCGGCCGCAAGTCGACGATAGGTCTTCAATCCCCCCGAGTGGCCACCCAACACTCCGTTGTGATATGAGTGTAGCAATCGCTGCCCAATCGGAGACGTACGAGCCACCACCATCCTACCCTTCTACAACAAACGGCCTTGCCTGATAGAATCCCCCGGAAACGCAGCCGGATTGTTAGGCAATTCCGACCAAATCTTGGCTAACCGGTCATCCTGCAACATCTGTTGATGGATCTCTTCGGTGTTGACAAATGTGGAAGCTGTCATGGTAGCCATAGCCGGCCCAACTACTACTCGTGACAAGGCATCCGCGGCTCTATTCTCAACCCCAGGTCGATAGTGGATCTCGAAGTCATATCCCAACAACTTGGTAAGCCACTTTTGGTGTTCCATGCTAACGAGACGCTGCACCAACAAGTATTTAAGGCTACGCTGATCCGTTTGGATCACAAAATGATGTCCCAAAAGATACGGTCGCCACTTTTGTACGGCTAACACTATGGCCATCAACTCGCGCTCATAAACTGATTTGTTCCGTGCCTGAGCGAATAGGACTTGACTGAAATAAGCGATGGGCCGTTGATCTTGCATCAAAACTGCCCCTAAACCAATCCCCAAGGCATCTGACTCAAGCACAAATGGCTTTGTGAAATCCGGCAATGCTAACACCGGCACCTGCGTCATTGCCGATTTCAACCTTTCAAAAGCCTGCGTTGTCTCAACGTCCCAACGAAAATTATCCTTCCGAAGCGAGTTGATTAAGGGCCCAGCACACCTGCGTCATTGCCGATTTCAACCTTTCAAAAGCCTGCGTTGTCTTAGAGTCCCAACGAAAATTATCCTTCCGAAACAAGTTGATTAAGGGCCCATCGATTTGACTATAACCCGCCACAAACTTGCGGTAGTAGCCTGTCAACCCAAGGAATCCCCGTAACTCTTTCAAATCTGTGGGAGGAGGCCAATTAACGATGGCCTCTATTTTGGTAGGATCAGCCGAAACACCTTCTGCAGAAACAATATGGCCAAGGGACTCGATTGAACGCTGGCCAAAACTACACTTCTTAGCGTTGGCATATAGTTGGTATTGCTGCAAAACCGCCATTACCTGACTCAGATGGCCTGCATGCTCCTCTAAGGAACGGCTATAGATGAGTATATCATCAAAAAATACGAGTACGAACTTACGGAGGAAGGTGCGAAGGACGTCATTCATGAGCGATTGAAAGGTCGCCGGAGCATTAGTGAGGCCAAAAGGCATCACGAGAAATTCGTAGTGGCCTTCATGTGTACGAAAGGCTGTCTTTGGTACGTCCTCGGCTTTCATCCTGATTTGATGATATCCCGATTTAAGATCGATCTTGGAGAACACCATTGCGCCATGCAATTCATCCAAAAGTTCTATTACCGGAATTGGAAAACGATCGGGAACTGTCTCCTTATTCAAAGCGCGGTAATCCACGCAAAACCTCCAACTTCCATCCTTCTTCTTAACTAGCAAAACCGGACTAGAATACGGACTAACACTTGGTTGTATTATGCCCGCCGCTAACATCTCCCCAACCAATTTCTCAATTTCTGTTTTCTGAATATGAGGATAACGATAGGGTCTAACACTTATAGGGGAGGTTCCCTCTTTCAAAACAATTGCATGATCCTTAGTTCGAATCGGTGGCAATCCTCCCGGCATTTCAAAAACCTCCCTATACAAACTCATTACCCCTTGCAATTCCAGGGGAATTTCCTCCTCTTTAACCGGCGGTCTCACTCCCAGAGCCCCTAACTCCACCCACACCCTTTGCCCCTCATGTCTCAAGGCCCTCATTAAAGCATTGAGTGTTACTGGTGACTTGTTCAATCCCGGGTCACCTTTTAACGTCACTTGCCTCCCTCCCAAACCGAACTTCATGAGTAAGGTCTTCCAATTCACAGATACAACCCCCAGGGTTTCCAACCATTGGATACCCAATATCAAATCTGAACTTCCTAATTCCAGAGGTAGAAAATTTTCAACTATTTCAATTCCTTGCATGGAAATTAATACTCCCCGGCACATTCCCTCTCCTCGCACCGCTAACCCGGTTCCCATCACCACTCCATACCCCCCCGTCCTATCCACTTGCAATTTCAATTTCTGAACCAATTCGCAAGAAATGAAATTGTGGGTAGCCCCACTATCTATTAACAAAATTACCTCACACTCGTGGACGATTGCTTTAAGCTTCATGGTTTTCGGGGCTGTCAATCCAACGACTGAATTGAGGGATAATTCCACCATTTCTTCTTCTTCAACCATCCAAGTCTACTCTGTTTCCGCCTCACCCTGTTCCTCTTCCTCACGGACAATCAAGACCTGTAACTCCCGCTTTTGGACAACGGTGACCGAAAGAATACTTCCCATCGCACCGATAACACAGCCCTTTCTCCCTCTTAGCCTGCAGTTCCGCGTCAGTCATCCGTCGAAAGGGCGCCGTTCCCGTGCCTTGGTTCGTCGTCTTCCGTTCGTCCCAACTCTTCCCTTTCTCGTTCGAAACTCCATTAAAACGTAGACCATTTGTGGTCGTTTGGCCACCTTTTGTTCATTAAGTCCTCTTCCCCAAACCGGAAACGTTGGGCCCTGGCCTTTTGGGCCGCGTACCATAAGGTTACGCTCTTCCACCCTCTGGGGTACTTCCATAATCCGGCCCAGCCCAAATGGTTTCATCAACCTTATCTCTGCCCGTACCTCAGGCTTCAATCCATTAACAAACGAACTCTCCAGAACTTGCTCGGAGATGTCCGTCAACGGCGCCGCCAGAACTTCGAATTGCTTCCGGTATTCTCTCACCGTCGTCTCCTGCCGGAGGGACAACAACTTCTCGCACAAGCTGCCTTCTTGCGTCGGTCGGAATCGTTCGAGAATCATTACCTTCAACTCCGCCCAATTCCGAATCATCCGCCGTCCATCCTCCCATTGAAACCACGCCAAGGCTTCCCCATCGAGGCTGACAACTGCAACATCATCTCGCACAAGCTGCCTTCTTGCGTCGGTCGGAATCGTTCGAGAATCATTACCTTCAACTCCGCCCAATTCCGAATCATCCGCCGTCCATCCTCCCATTGAAACCACGCCAAGGCTTCCCCATCGAAGCTGACAACTGCAACATCCAACTTTTCGTTCTCCGTCAGGCCGTTCATCGTAAAGTATCTCTTAGCCCTAAAAGTCCAACCATCGGGATTTTCGCCGTTAAACGTCGGCATCTCCACTCGTCTGGTCCGACAGTCGGCGCGCGTTCCAAATTCACGCGGTTGCCTGACTCTCTCGCTCGTCTCCTCTCCTGGCGTCGCCTGTCTCGCCGGAGCTTCTACTCCGGCTGTCTGGAAATTCCGTCGTTCTTGGTGCTGAATATTCATCAGTTCCTCCATTCTTGCCAGCAGTAAATCCATACCTTGCTCCAGTCGAGGCGTCGCCTGTCTCGCCGGAGCTTCTACTCCGGCTGTCTGGAAATTCCGCCGTTCTTGGTGCTGAATATTCATCAGTTCCTCCATTCTTGCCAGCAGTAAATCCATACCTTGCTCCAGTAGGGGAATCTTTTTCAATTCCTCACGCACCTCCTCGAATTCCCTTGCGAACTCCTCTCTCGTTCCCTCGGCCTTCTCCTTCTCGCGGTCATCAGTACGTCTCGTCATCCAGGAAAGTGCTCTGATACCAAATGTTAAGCTCTTATTCACGGTTAGTAGTAGTGAGACAAAATTGCTAGGAAAAACTAATGGAAGCTTGATTTGTATTAATGGCGGAAGATTGGTTACAAGTAGATAAGGGGATTTTCGAGAGATCCCTTGCTCTCCTAAGATTTCCACTTCTCAGAAGTATACAAAATGGTTCGATCCCCCACTACTCTACCTCTTGCTCTATTTATTCTACTCAGCCTTATTCCCCTCACTAATTCCAATACTAACTAACTAATAACTGCCTAACTAACTAGTAACTGCCTGCTGACTCAGCCACTCCTATTTCCTCTTCCCGAGTTCCTTCCTCCACGTCAGCAACCACTTGAGTTTCAGCTGCAAACCTTGGCTCGTGGTGGCGTTTCCTCCGAGCATATGTAAAACGCACGGGGGGCTTATCAGAGTCCTGATACATCAGATTTGTGCTTATAATTTTGTTACCTCTAACTTGTTATTATGTTAGTTTCTAGTCGTTTTCAAGAGTTATTTATGTGTTTTTAGTTTACTTTGTAGGTTAGTGTCAATTGGAATTCGTAGGCCAGTTTTTGAAGAATTTTTAGAGCTGAAATGTAGGAGCGCCGAAGAAAATTGAGCTTTGCAATACAAAAACCCAAGATCAGAGCGCCTAGGCGCCATGCTTGTAGTGTCGTGGCGCTACGTAAACACACAGGGACTAGAGCCGCGACGCTACTCTAGTGGTGACCTAGATTTGAGCTGTTTCAATCTTCAAAAAATTACAAGATTGCCATTACGACTCCGTGACTATAAATAGGAACTTTAGGGTTCTTTTATGCACTTTTGACCCGAGAGAAAAAGGAGCTTACAGTACGGCAAAGGAGAAGAAGAGACATCTGGGAACAAAGTTCAACTTCAAATTTGACAGTTAGTTTTTCCCTTTTCTATTTCTCTTGTGTTGAATTTCGCTGTTATTTCGTTCTACCACATGAATGTTAGTCAATGTTAGTGAATTACCGGAATAGAATAGGAATTGTCTTGGTGAAACTTGTGTGCTCTAGTGTTTTCTTACCATTGAATTTCTTTGTTATTTTATTTTTTTAATAATTCATTCATGAATTATTGTTTGCCTAAATAAAGTTGAAAGTATTATAATTTCAGTAATTGTTAAACTAGTCTCCGAGGGAACGATACTCTATTATCTTCACTATATTACTTGAGCGATTCGTGCACTTGCAAAAATTCACATCAACTTGTGCTGCCAAAAAGGTAAATGAAAATAAGAGATAAATGACAAAAAGAAAAAATGACTTGCCTTAGAATTGTAGAATATACATCACAACGGATACCTCCAGTACAATACATCAATATGTCCGTTTTTTCTTTATCAACATCTGCTAAAGGATCTGATGCAGTAACCTGAATGAGCATAAACAGATGAAAAACAAGAAAACAAAAATGAAATGGAAGAAATGTATTCATGTCTATCACTGCAAAAGAATACTTTCCCACTCTTTTATTTTTATGTTGATAACACATGATTCCATAGATCTAACTTCCGTGTGTCTACAGGTATTTCTGAAGAACTAAAGAAACTAGAGGCTGCAACCTTCATATATATAAATTTATCGGTTATCAACCCAGAGATTTTTTTTTTTCAACCTAGCAACTGCAACCTTACTATTAATACATTACAGCCTATACAGATATACTTAAACAAGAATCTACTTTTTTTTTTTGGATAACCTGGAGTATCTAGGCTTCTTTGAGGATTTGACTAATCCCTAAGGGTGTGTGTAGACCCTCTTATCTGTACACACCGGGACAAACTGAGGGAGGTACCCCAAGGGGAATCAAACCCAAGAACTCCCACTTGTAAGGTGAGGTCCTGAGCCACTTAAGCTACCCCTTGGGGGAAAACAAGAATCTACTACAATTGATACAAAGCTCTTAGTTTTCCACACAAAGCAAGATGTTCAGCAGTGATCAAGGCTCTAATCAGCTTTGTGGGGTCAGTGGCTGGGGCGACTCTGGTGAAGTGCCTTAACAATTTAGCATTCATCAGCTTAGATCTAGCTCTTTACAGAAAGTCTTGCATGTTAGAAAGGAAGAATAGAGTTTGAGGGTTATGTTATGATCCATTCGCTTTTGACATGTCCACATTCAGTTTTGCATAGAACCTGGAGCCGTTTCAAATCCTTTTAGAACCCTTCAGCCACCAAATTGACATTATAAGTCTTCACATTTCAGTTTCTATGGATCCTTCAGTTTTGCATAGAAACTTCTAGAAAGTTTCTTTCTTTCTCTCTCTCTCTCCTTTTTTCCCCCCTACTGTCTACCTACATGATGTTTTTAAATAAAAGCAACAGAACAGAGAATTTTATTAAGTTTTAAAGAACAAGATGGATGAGAGATAAAATATAACGTACAAAATACAAAATATGTTGACGGTGAAAATTCGTCAACTCGGAATTTAACCTTTTCGGGAACACTCGCGTCGTGACTCTCTCAAATTGACTGAAATATAAATGCAGAAAATTAAAGAAACACAAAAATGTATAGTGGTTCGACAGAATCTCATTGCCTACGTCCACTTGTGGATGCACTAAATCTCAAAGAGTATAGAAGATCTCTCTTAGAGTAGAAAATTGTGCATAGAGACTAAATGAGGAGTTTAACCCTTATTTATAGGTTCTCTTGTACATGATATCTCTATCTCTAGATCACATTATGAGACAAGCTTCTTTATCCCCTTTTTAGATAAGGATTTACTTAGATTTATCTCCACATTTAATTATTTGTATTTAAATACATGGCTGTAGTTGATAATCTATATTTGCTCTTCTATTTGAATTTGAAGATAAGAGTTATCCTCTCCTGATTTGGCGGGCTTTATGTTGATCCTCTGTCTTCTCCCACACTTGTCGACTCCTCTACACTAATATCCTCGTGACCTTATTAGGACTTCTTGTCCACATCACGCAACGTGGTATAAGATGCTCAACACGAGGTTTTCTTTTTACATCGTTATCTCTCGACGGCTAAGCCCAATCGTGGCTTTTGTATTTCTCGACGGCTAAATAGGAGGAAAAATCAGAGATCTCGACTATGGCGTAACAAAATACAATACAACTATAGGCAATAGTTTCCAGTCATCTTTGCTTTCTTGAAGCTATTCATATCCAAAGTCAAGTTCGCTAACCATGACAATGCATAATTGACTTTACCTCTGGCTCTGATAACCCAAATGAAGTGCTCTTGAAGCAGTCCACATCAGGTCGTTGAGCTCCATCAAAATGACCAATATCCCATTCATAACCTGATTACTAGCAAGTACAAAGTCTTCAAACTTACAACGCTAATTTCAAGCAGCATAAAATATAATGAAAAACCAAATAAAGAAGAAAAATACAAGATCTAGATGAAAAGATCCAACTTTTCCTGCTACTAGTACAGCCCAAACAATGAATCATCAGATGAAAACACTCTTATCCCTCAAGGAGAAAAAAATATATATTAAACTCATGAAAAGCAACTAATTATGACATACAACTTAAAACTTAATTTTAACCCACATAAAATCCCATATATAAAAAAAGAACAAAGAGAATTTTACACCACGTCTTGAGTGCACCTTACAGTGCAAAAACGCCCCATCTGTTTGTGTCTTGGTTATGAATTAGACACTGCTAAGGAGATAAAAACATAATTTTTAAACTTTAGAGGGAAAATCCTTCCAAATATATTATAAGGTGTAGAAGATGGACCGGCCTATACTCTTCTATAAGAAATTTACAAGTACACAAATCAGAGGACAACAATAGCATATTCTTTTACACTGACTGAAGGATAACCCCATCAAGCAAACAATCAATCAATTCATTTGATTCTCTCGTTTGGGATATAAAAAAGATGGAAATTTCCAAATCAAGTTTAAAATCAGATAAGAAAAAAGAGAATTTGTTGGGGGAAATTTCAAGGAGAGCATATGTCAGTCGAGGAATAAAAGAGAGAGTGTCTAAGTAAAGAACTCATTACTTGCTACTGAGTTGCAGCAAGAAAAGTGTGTGTCCTTAGATTTCCCTTCTTTTCAAATTTTGGTTAGAGCAAATATGTTGGGAAAATGTCCCATCATTTTGCGTCTAAACATGATCAATTTTGTGGATCTAGAGTCACGTCAAACAAATATGTGATGAAGGTTCAAACTAAAATTGCTTCTACAACTGGAGCTGCTTTCGGCACTTGAAGAGTAAAAAGAAGAAACACATGAAAGAGTTCAAGGAAAACAACTAGAAAGATGACTTAAACAAAGGAACAAAATAAAATGAGTGGCAGGGAAACGAAAATACGAAAAGTTAAGGGAGTACATACCATTTCTGACATCCAATAAAATGTAGTTCTCATTTGAAGAATCATCAGCTGTATTCACTTCTTCTAATCTTTTTCTCCACTCAGATGGTGATAGTCGCGTTGCTCGCATGGAAGGATCGAGCAAAGGAAGTTGATCAACACCTCCTTCAAACTAGTTTGGACAAATTAAAACGTTACATTGTATGTTAATGTCAGCTACCCAGAATTTCATTTATTCAGAAATCTCTCTACCATGAAAACAAGAAATCTACACTTGTACACATTGTAGAAATTAGACTTTCTAAGGCGATCTCCGATACAAATGAAATACAAATGTTAAAGACAATGCTATATCTGGCACCAGAAAGTGTGGAATAGCATCTTTGATATGTTATTTTGATTTGTTCTCCAATACATAATGCCATTCAAATGTTATATATATTTCTTAATAACCATTAAGCATTGAAAGTTGTAAAAGCAAACTCTCGATTACGAAGCTAAAAATGAGAAAATGAAGAGAAATGACATTATATAGAAGATAATGTGGCTTGCCTGAACTAGTGAAGGCTTATAGCGCAATTTCAACTTTGGAAAGGCATGGCCATTTACCGCAGGAGAAACCTGAACTAAAATATCAGAAAATCTTTCATCTTCTCTTAACCATTCCACATATGCCAGAGCATCTTTTGATGGCCCACTGTACTGCATATACACCAAATAATAACACAATCATAAAACGATATGTAAGCCGAAAAGAAAAGACAAGAATATGATGGAAAATTATACATGACAAAGTACCTGTGCATTAATCCCTTGCTCGTTTAGATATATTCGTCCATGAATGTCAAGGCCCTAATATTAAATTGAAATAATAACATGTCAATACCAGGATAAAAGAAAGGTCTCTGGAAAAAGATATATATATATATATATGTATATCTATCGAGAGAGAGAGAGAGAGAGAGAACCTGAAGGAAAGAGAGGTGGTTGGAGACCTCTGCATGTGGGTCGTCAATGAAGACGAAGTGATAGAAGTTGATCACCAAGAAATCTTCCGATTTGCACAAAACCCCATTTGCTTTTGGTTTTGCATTTGGTTTTGTGGGTGTTTTTTGGGAGAAGGAAAGGAAGCGCTTTGGGATAATTGAGCAAGAACAAGAAGCTGCGAAGCCTAGTGGGAAGTGAAAAGGGTCAAGTCTTTTTGGAGTGAATATTATTGCAGTGCAGAGGCAGCTCTGCGTATTCACTCTACAACCTATCATCCTCTCTCTCTCCCTCTACTCTCTAGTCTGTAGGAGTTGGGCCATTTTGGTTTCTGGGTAATGAGCATAGAAGACCAGCGAATGGCGCACATGTTGTTCACCTCACAACACAGGGACGTATTAGTTATTTACTCTTTTACCCTTAAACTTATCGTCATATGACACGGTCATGGTTAACATTCTTAAAGAATCGAGAAATTCGTTTCGGCTCCGCAGCGGAGCGGGGGAGAGTTCGCGTTTTTATGATCCATTCATTTTACCGATTTGAGTTTAAAATTTAAGTTTTGTTACAGTAAAAAATTTTTAAAAATAATCACATTTAATTTTTTTACTATAATAAAAAACTCTCATATGAAGTCACATCTTAACTCGAATAAGTAAACTAAACGAACCCTTAGTTTTAAAAAGAAAAGAGAAAGTCAATGGTGCGTTTGGTTTTGTTTACCAAACGTTTTTTAAAGAGGAAAAAATGAAATTGAAAACGAAACGCCGTTTGTTTAGAAAATACTTTAAAAATAAAAATTAGGAGAATGATTTTTGTGAAAGAATTTAAAAAACAGTTGAAAGTTGTTTTCATTTTTCTGTTTTTATTTTTTAATACTTATCAATAATATTATAATATATTAATTAATAATTATAATCAAACACGATTTCACTATTTTATTATACTCAAAATAATCTTTTAAAAAACTAACCAAACGCAATTTCAGAATCGTTTTCAGAATGATTCTTAAAACAATATCATATTTTACTTTTTATGGAAAACAAAATCATTTTAAAACCAATTCCAAACGCATCTCAAAACTTTTTTGTGTTTACAAAAAGAGCATTTTTATTTTAAAAGAGTTTTTGAACGTGATAAATAAATAAAATCTCTTATTATTATAAAAAATAATAAAAAAATATATAGATGAAGTTTTTAATTTATTGTTTACAAATAAAAAATTAAAAATATAAATAAAAAAGTTGTCACGAGATATTTTTCATAAGCATTTTAGTTCGTCCCAAACGAGTTTATAAAAGCAAAAAGTATTTTTATATTATCCATCTAAACGACCTTAACAATAGCTTTTAGACAAAGATCTCGTTCAATTCATCGATTCGAGTTTTGATACAGTAAAAAATTTTTAGAAATAATCATATTTAATTTTTTTACTATAGTAAAAAACTCTTATATAATATCACATATCAACTCGAATCAACAAACTAAACGACCTTAAAATAAGCTAAAAGTGGTCATTTTTAAGCCAATCCAAACAAACTCGCACGACTACAAACTTTTGTTAAGATGTGTATAGCATATGGGACACACTGTTGTTTTCTCTATGTGCGGAGCTGGTGTGGATCCGTATAACAAGGTTCTTAACAATTACCTCCAACTATTATTTACCAAAAAAATATACAAAAAATTACTTATAACTATTAATAGAGACTTTTCTCTCTCTTTTTTTTTTTTTTTTTTTCTTTTTCTCTCATCTCTTTGCGGCTGGGGTAAGACTTGCTAGTAAATTTGGGTTTTTTTTAGGTTTTAAATCGTGCGAATTTCGAATCATATACCTAGATTATCAATCCTATAATAAACCATGTGCTTTTCTCTTTTTTCTTTTTTATTACTAAAGACAGACATGAATTAAGACATGTGCTATAATATAGACGTTTTAATTTTTTCTTAAACTTTTGCTTAATTTGTTTTTATATTATTGGATTTTTTTAATTTTATTTATTATTTATGTTTTTATCTCGCTCTTATTTTCACTTAACTTGATAATACATGATATCATATAAGAAAAAGTCTCTTTTGACATTAAAAATAAAAGTTTATAACAAAAGGTAAAATAAATTAGGTTAATGTAATAAATTATTCTTGAGGTTTACTCTTAATTCCACTTTGGTCCTTGATTTTTAAAGCATCCCACATTTGATTCTTGAAGTTTTACCCTATTTTAATTTCAATTCTTCTATAAGCTAGATGTTAAATATTTGATGTGTAAATTAAATACCAAAAATAGAAATATCTAAAATTTAAAGACTATTTATAAAAATTAACTTTTCTTTTTTGCATTATTTTAGTAATTTTACTATGTTTCCAATTTTGGTTCCTATTTTTTCAGAGAACTTGTCAAAATATTTAACACCTAAATAATAAAATGACTAAAACTGAAACAAAGTAAAACTTAAAAGACTAACTGTGAGATATTTTTAAAGTCAATGATCAAATTGAGATTGAAGGTAAACCTGAGATATCATTTTTGAGAGTAACCCAAACAAATTAGATCAACCCATTTTCCATTTCATTAATCGCTCTCGAGATCTCATCTATTTTTCTTTATAGAGGCGTTTGATATGGGATAATCTTTAGATAAGAAGGAGAATCTTTCGCGTTTGGTACAAGAATTATAATTTCTACATTCTTGAGAACTAATTCGCCTATTTAATATGTTTTCTATTGGATTTAATTGTTAAAACAATAATAAAAAGCATAAACTATAAAATTTTCAAAAAGAATTAAGGGGTTGTTTGGTTGGAGGATTCGTATTCCGATTTGAATCATGGTTCATGGTTCGCTATAGTGTTTTTTCTCACAAAAAATGCACGTAAATAAAAAATGATTCTAATTTTATGATTTTAATACATGAACCAAACGTCTCCTAAGACCTCCATATATCTAAAAAAAGAAAAATGTGAAATACGTACACGCGGAGCGCGTGTTAGATAAAAAAAAAATAGCGGTGGATAGAAGCATCAAAGCATTTGGTAAGAAGTATTGTGCTTGTTCGGTTCCGTTTTCAAAAACGGTTTTCACGTTTTCACGTTTTCCAAAAACAAAAAAATAAAAATGCTATGGGGAAGGCGTTTGGCATGCATTTCTTGAAAAACAGGAAATGAAAATGTTTTTCATTTGTTTCCAAAAAGTGAGCAAAACTGAAAACGACTCTCCATTTTCATTTTCTTTGTCCATCTCTTCTCCGACTGCTCCCCCCACCCCTTCTCCGACTGCCGACTGCCCCCTCCTCCCCCAATTTCAGTTTTTTTAAAACTGAAAACAATCTCAAAATAAAACTATCAAATACATTTTCAGAAATAATTTCAAAATGAAAATGAAAACAGAAAACAAAATCCCCATTAAATCCGACGGCAAAGAATGAAGGTACATATTAGGTACCATACACCCGGGCATAAGAAGAAGAAGCTTTTTAATCCAAAACCCTATCGTTACAGAGGTTCGAGAAAGCGATAGAGTGAGATGAAACGGTGACCGTCGGATCATCACCCACATACGTTATCATCTTGGCCGCTCCTTTATAGGCACAAAGGGCTTCCTTAGCGCCGTCTGGGTCTCAGCCTTTCTCTCTCTTCTTCTTTCTCTCTCTTCCATTCTTTCGCTTCCACTATCTAAACCCAAACCCTAGCCAAGGTAAAACCTCTCCGAATTCCTCTTTTATTCGATTTTTTTCACTATTGCTTGTGGTCATCTAGGGTTTTGATTTGGGAATTTTAGTTTTTGATGGCTTTTTTAGTGTTTTTGGTCTTCGAATGGTTGAAATGGTAGTGTTTAGTTCAGGGGTTTTCATCGCATGATTTTAGGATTTGTTGCCGCTTTGGAAACGGCGAAGGATTTGATCCATTTGCTTTGTGGATCTTTTCTTGTGTTTATATATGCATATACATATACATACATATATATATATATATATATATATTGGGTTTGGATGAGTGGAAGATTTGTTAATGGGTTATTTTGCTGAAATTCGATGAATTTAAGACTTTCTTAATATTATCGTGATAGACTTTCTTAAGTTGGTAATGCTTCGTTGGAGCTAGAAAACTTGATAAAGTAATGGCTTTGTTACATTTTTTTAATGACATTTCTGCGTTGTTTTACAGATGAATGTGGAGAAACTTAGGAAAATGGCCGGTGCTGTTCGCACCGGTGGGAAAGGTAGCGTGAGAAGGTATATTCATTTCTATACATACATGTGTGTGTGTGTGTATATATATATATCTATATATTTATTTATATATATATAGCTTCTCAGTTTCAAAGTTGTTCAAGTTAATAACGCCAAGTTTAATTTTGTTAGTTAAGTTATTATATTGCTGAATAGTATAGGCATATTCTCTTTAAAGGAGCAATTGAGTGGGAGGCTAGGAGTTCCTAATTTTCTTTGGTATCGCTGTAACTTTCTTTTTTTCAAAGAGAGAGAGAGAGAGAGAGAGAGAGAGAGAGAGAGAGAGAGAGAGAGAGAGTCCTTTGAGAAAAATAATTAGTTGTGAACTTGTGATCAAAATTAACTGTGTTATTACACTAATGTTTTCAATGAACTTATTTTAAATCAACTTTTGCAGTTTAGTATGCTGAAACACAATTGGTCTGAACATATACAATGACCAAAATAGAGATTGTTGAAATTATATTGGCTTATTTGTAAATAAGAGGAATTCCTTGAGTTTATTTTTGATAAGGTTTTCAGTGTTTTTTTAATTCTATTTTATTTTTGTACTTGTGCTTGAAACCACAGAAAGAAGAAGGCTGTGCATAAGACCACTACCACAGATGACAAGAGGCTTCAGAGCACCCTGAAGAGAATAGGGGTTAATGCTATCCCCGCTATTGAGGAAGTCAACATCTTTAAGGATGATGTTGTCATCCAGTTCTTAAACCCCAAAGGTTATTTTTAGATTCTACTTGGCCTCGTATATTTTTGTCTTCGTACTTTACCCTCAATTGACTATTTCTTCCTTTATGTATCAGTTCAAGCATCCATTGCTGCCAACACTTGGGTTGTTAGTGGTTCTCCTCAAACAAAGAGTACTGTTCTATCTCCTTTCTTTATTCAAGTTCTTGGAAAATGAGTTATTCTTGCATTTATCTTGGATATATTGGATATTCCTCTACCACAATTCTTACTGATTAACTGTGTTGATTCACGACTTTCTCTGCATACCTTTTTTTTTTCCCAGTCCAATGGAATGTTCATCTTTTATTGGGTTTGTTGGATTTGTTATAATTTTTTTTTGTTTGTTCTGGTTTTGTGCTTTTTTATCCTCTTCTGAGAGGAGGCATGATTTTGAGCTTCTTTCTTTTTTTTTTTTTTTTTTTTAAATCAAATTCCTTTTTTCTTCTGTAAGCATCATGTTGTCCGGGTTGTACTTCCTGTGTTAACATATGAATCTTTTCTGTTCCAGAATTGCAGGATATCCTTCCTAACATCCTCACCCAATTGGGTACTGTACTTGCGACCTTCACCTTTATCTTTTCCTTGTTCAGTTATAGAACTGCATCTTAAACCCAATTCCCTGGGTTATTTTCAGGACCTGACAACTTGGACAACCTTAAGAAGCTTGCAGAGCAGTTTCAGAAGCAGGCTCCTGGTGCTGATGCAGGTGCTGGTGCTGCACAAGAGGACGATGATGATGAGGTTCCGGAGCTCGTCCCTGGGGAGACCTTTGAAGCAGCTGCGGAGGAGAAGCCTGCATCATCTTAGAGAGCTAAGGGAGATTTTGTGCCAATTTTATATAATTATTAAAATGTTCTCAAAATTGTAGCTTTTTGGTGGTCCTTTATTTTTATTTGTATTTTTTAAAATTTTCTTTTGATGTTCCCTTTTCATCCCAATTCGAGTCACATCATGTTTGATTTGGCACCTCGTTGTGACACACTGGAAAGTAGATACTCTTCTTTTTGGCATGTTTTATCTTTAATGCTTCATGTGATGCACTAAGGTGGTTGTTATAAGTTATGGTCCAAATCAAAAACTCTTTTTCCTTCTTGGTGTTGCTGTTGCCATCCATTCTTCAGGAAATTATCTGAGACCGGCCGGCCTGGTTTTTTTTTTTTTTTTTTTTTTTTAATCGGAAAATCGTTCGCTGCTGGTTTTTCTCAAGCAAAGTAGGGGAAATCGGGTTCTGCTAAGACATGTCTAAAACACGAGATTTGGAGAATCTTAAGTTAATAAGCCTCACGAATAGAGTCCTAGAATGTCGTCGTGATGTGATTTACCTGTGCGAGTTGGTTATCATTAAGGCGTCAGGCTGGTTATCATAGGTCTACCCCCGGGTTGCCTTATTCAGCGGCAACGAAAGAGCAAGAGATGCTGATGAGTACACAAAATAAAGCAGTGCTAAGTGTATATATAGACCAACAAATTAATACGATGTAACAAGGCAAAATTTCAATAGGACATGAGAGCAAGATAGAGACGTGAATACCAATTTTATATGCTAACTGAGGTTGGAAAACAGATTAAAACGGCTAGAATTAGGAACTGACATTTGAATTTTGAATGACAAGAAAACCACAATGACCTCAACACTAGAAAAAGGGTTTTGATCAGAGGGCGTGTGGGAGGGTTTTTGTTCGAATTATGATGGATTTAAAAAAATAAATGATTTAACTTTAGAAGTTGCCATCAAATATTAAAGAAAAAAGGATTCTACCACTTTTGTCGTTACAATCTTAAAAAAACAATTTGGTAATCTCTTTTTCAGTTTTTTGTCGAACAGAAAGTAGACCCAAATTTGAAGAACTTCAGGAAATAAGCCACTGTAGACTCGAGCTGTCATTTCCTTCTCAGAAAGAAATCCTAGGATTTCCCACGCCAATGATTTTTTCTTTTCCTTCAATTTATTTGTAGTTTTCATTTTCATTTACATTACAAATAAAGGAAAAATGTGTATCAACCTATATCTCGCTCTATAGTGGTGATGAGTTTGATCCGCTTAGATCTTATTCTAATTGTGGTTTTGTAGTTTGTTTTAGTGTTTTTCTGTGCTTTTATATAATTTTGTTTTTTTTTTTTTTTTTTTTTGTACAGATGCTCCCTCCACTTTTTAAATTTGTCAATTTAGTTCTTATTCTTTTCTTTCTTGCCAATTGATCCTTTCAACATAAAAATCTTTGCAATTAAGGTCCAATCGAAACGGAGTTTTTTTTTCATAATTTTGATTATGCGACACACACATGAGCATTTATTGAGGATAATAAAGATAATTTCTCACCCTTGAAGCGTCACAACAGAGTAATAACCCTTAGAAACCATGAGTTGTTTATCACAGTTGATTGTGTTCGAACACATTCAATGACTCTGGTCAGCTATACGTAGCTTTATCTAGAGTTGCGCACCAAAAGGTCTAAATATTTTAATACATAAATCAATTAACAAATATCCAAATTATATAAAAAATATTGTATACAAATAGATACTACATAATATTAATAGACATTAATACATATCTTTATCATTACATTTTAACTAAATACTTTTACGCTGAAATATATATTTTTTCACCCATATAATATTGACTTTTATATTCCTAATATTTCTTTTTCAGTTGAGAAAAATGTTCACTCCAATACGAATATTAAAGTCTGGTGAAACACATTTGACTATTCATGCATGGATATGTCGACTATGGACACATAAATTATAATAATGGCCAACTGCTAAGCTTGGATATGTTATTAGTTGATGAAGAGGTAATTTAATTTATTTATTTTTATTTTTTACATGAATATAAAAATCAAAATATATATGTTTATTTATATTATATAATATATAAATAATAACAATATGATTTATACTTCTTGCAACATGAAGCAATACACTTCTTGCAACATGAAGCAATACATGCTGTTGTTCGAGTAAGAGATGTTGATTACATGACACAGACTATAGAAGAGGGTAACATATATGAAATTACAAACTTCTTTATCGATACCAACAAACCAAAGTATACACTTCTTTATAAAATTTTTAAACATGTTGATGAAAATATGCCAGAAATACCCTGAGAGAAGTTTAATTCCGTCGAGGTTGATCAACTACCACCAAAAATCGATGTCAATGATGTTCTTTCAGGTTATTTAAATTTTATATTCATATTGTTAAATTCAATGTTTATAATTTTATAATAATTGAAACTAAATTATTATAATATTATTCTTCTTATCAAATGTCATTGGCCGCTTGATTTGTTTTCATGGTGTGGAAGAATTAACAATTGGTGAAAGAGTAGTAAAAAGGAGAAGCTTTGTTATACACAATATAAGGTAATTATGATATTAATAAATATTTAAAAAACTAATTTACAATTTTTAAAATATTATTGTAACCAATGTTTTCTTATGCATTATCCGATACAAAGAAGAAAGACTCAATATAACACTATGGGGACAAACTGCAGAACTCTTTGATGAAAATACAATGCAAACATTGACGGAACCAATCGTGATGGCATTTACAAGTTACAACTATGACAGCAAAACAATACCAAGGTTAGTATTCATAATATACTTCATTATTTGAATATTTTACATGATTAACTATAAATTTCCATTTGTTATAGGAGGAATTTATTTAACAAATACATATGGTTCTTTTTATTATTTGGATCTAGAAATCGTAGAAACAAGAACAATAAAAAAAGTATGAGAAACAATAATGAGTTTATTATTATCCATATTTATATATTTTCATTTTGCCTTTTTTAACATATTCATATGTATTTATATATTTTCTTTCTACAGATTCCGTCATTCAATTCAAACTTTAGAATATGTTGCCCCCATCAACGAAACGAACAATATCATTAGAGGAACAAAAAAGCACGAATTGTATAACCATTGCAGAATTACGAGCGTTAAACCTATTTCAAAATCAGGTAATTTTTTTTTAAATATACTGTATTTCATTTCTTATTTATACAAAATAAAAAAAGATGTTTTTCTATTCTAGAAGAAACAAGATACACAATAAGAGCAACTATTACCGAAATTGATGCATACCAAGGATGGTTTTACTACGTATGTACAAAATATTACAGACAAGTAAAAGAATCAGGAACATCTTGGTGGTGTGATACATATGGATATTTATCTACAATGTCACTTACTTGGTAATAACGTTTATTAAAAGAAAAAAACAACAATATTTTTGCAATTATAATATAAACATAATTTTTTTCCTAAACATGTACAAAATCAATGTACACATTGAAGATAACACAGGAAAAACAAATGCAGTCATGTTCGGTAGTACAATACAATCCCTCATTAATAAAACTTGCTATACACTCACTTTGGAAGAAGGCTACACTAATTGTTATAATTCCTCCCATCCTAGAACAAATTAGAGAAATATCAAAAATATTTGTTATCGAATTTCGTAATCGAGGAACATTTGTATACATAATTATTTTAAGAACTTTGAATGATGATGGACCTCTATTGTACTTACCTCTAACAACATCAACATCTTTAAGAGGAACACCATCAATTTCAAAACCCCTTACAATCAAAAGCGTCGAACCAAGGTAAATAACTATTTACATCTTCTCTTTTTTTTAAATAAAAATCTTAATATAACATCAATTATAGTACAATAATATTTATTATTATTATTACAGTCGTCACCATCAACCTATTTCAATACAACCCGAGTCAACTTCTTCTGTTAGCTCTTTGAGAAAAAGAAAACCAATCAGGTAATACTATTTTTTATATATTAAAATAATTATTTCATTAAAATAAAATAAAATTATTACCATTAATTATAATGTATTACTAACTAATATTTATTTTATGTCTTTATTTATAAGAAAAATAAAGGAGAATAGTCAAGAAGTCCCACAAAATATATATGCATATATATATATAAATATGTAAATAAATATGTATATGTAATAAACTTACAATAATCTCGAAACTGAATTTTGATCGTGTATCATCTTTTGTGTTAACTTTTAAATATCATTTTTATACTCATTTTTCTAAAAATATTTAGGCCGTGTTTAAAGTTGTTTTGTTTTTGTTTTTCCTATGTTTTGAGAAACGAAAAAATAAACGTTTGGCACAATTAAAGACAAAAAACAGAAATGAAAACGATTTTTTGGTTTAATGTAAAATGGGAGAGAAATGTTGAGCGTGTTTGGTATCAGTTCCGTTTTTATTTTTTACGTTTTCCGGGACAAAAAAACAGAGATTGAGGAGAAAAACGCATTTGGAGGAAAAAAAAAGTGAAAAGAACGAAAACAAAAATGATTTTCGGTTTAGTGTAAAATGACTTAAAAACTGAAAACGAATTTAAGTCGTTTTTCATTTTCACTTTTAGGTGGATGTCTTTTTTTTTTGGTAAGTAGGTATGGGCTTAAATGAACTAACTATGTACTCCTAAATTAAAAATAAAAATTGTATAACTAAATGGAGTTTTAGTTTTTTCTTATATTAAAAATAATCTCTTAATAAAACTACCAAACGCATTTTCAGAAACGATTTCTGTCTGAGTTTGAAAACGTTTTCATTTTCAATTTCATACAGAAAATAAAATCATTTTGAAACTAATTCCAAACGCACCCGTTCATTTTTTATTTTCGTTTTCTCCTCTCTCGAGCACAGAGAGAGAGACATTAATAGATTTTTTTATACTGAAACCAATCTCTTGATAAAACTACCAAACACATTTTTAAAAATAATTTCTGTCTGAGATTAAAAACATTTTCATTTCCATTTTCATAAAAAAAATAAAATCATTTTAGAACGAGTTCCAAACGCACCTTTAATATCTTCATTTTGTAACTGATTATTATATTATTTATTCTAATCTTATCATAAAACAACTAAGGAGGCGTTTGGTAAATGGATTCAGAATCATGATTCTAAATCCCGATTCAGAATTAATATTTGTTTACAGTGATTCTGAATCATGATAATTCAGTATTTGGTTTGAATGATTCTGAATCATGATTCAAAATCTGATATGATGTTTTAAACTAGAATCACTAATGATTCTAAAACCACATTCCTCTTGATTCAAACCCCTAATTTTGAATCATGGTTTCAGAATTATAATTTAAATCTAAAATCATAAATCATAAAATTATAATCATCCTGATTTAAATCCTCATAATAAATGAATTCTAAACAAACATCCATGCTTTGCACGTAGTTTATTTAAGCCCCGTTCATTTCGCTTATTTGAGTTTAAAATTCAAATTTTGCTACAGTAAAAAGCTCTCACAAATAATCACATCTAACTTTTTTACTACAATAAAAAATTTTCACATAAAATCACATTTTAACTCAAATTAAAAACTCGAATCAACGAACTAAACATGCCTTATATAGCTTACCGCACAATTCTCTTTTGCTAGTACAACAATTAGTTCGTTAGTCGTTGGTGGGTTTTTGGTGTTCTTCTTCTTCCACTGAACAGTGAAGTAAACGCAGTCCCTCCCAGCAAAGCATGTATTAGGAAGAAAGAAAGTCAAAGAAATGGAGGTTCTCTTACCATTACCGAACAACTCCCTTCTTCTCCTCCCAATCTCCATCACCACAGGCAGAGGCAGAGCTGCTCCTAAACCTAAACGACGGCGTCACTGTTGTCGTTCGTCCGTCGAAGAAATCCGCGTCTGCAACAACCGAACTTGCCGACGACAGGGCTCGCTCCAAACCCTAGAAACCCTCGCCGGTGTCGCTCCTCCGAGCGTCACTGTCAAGGCGTGCGGGTGCCTCGGCCGCTGTGGCTCCGGCCCCAACCTCGTCGCCCTCCCCGGCGGCGTCGTTTTCGGCCACTGCGCCACCGCCGCCCGCTCGGCAGAGGTCATGGTGGTTCTCTGCGGGGCGGACCCGGACGATGCAAAGAAGAGCCTTGAAGCTCTTGCGTTGAGGAAGAAAGCCGAAATTGAGTTGGAGAAGGGGAGTTTTCTCAACGCTGAGTCGCTTCTTTCTCAGGTACCTATCTACCCACTCCAATCTTTTTAAAAATTTTTGTTTTTGATGATGAAAAGGTCGGAATGTATGGAAATCAAATATCGATGTTGATGAAGATTGGAAATTTATGTAAATTGAAATGTCGATATTTCGCTAAAAAGAGGAAAAAAAAAATCTTTTTTCTTGTTATGTACAGAAAAATTCATGTTTACTGATTGAGATTGAAATCTAAGTATAATTAACGCAAAATTGCGATAATGAAAGGACGGACTTGAGTAGAAAAATGAAATAAGACTGGTGTAGTAGTAGAGATTTTGTGTAAAAATCTTTTCTCCGATATGAATCAAGATCTCTGCCCACATAAACTCCATATTGAACGTTCTTTTCTCCGATATGAATCAAGTAACATTGAGTCCCCGACAACGCTCTTTTCATATTGAACGTTAAACTCCAAATTCTTCAATTCCCTCTCGTTGCCTTTTCTCCTAACTGACCTTGTGGCCCCTTCAGCTGTCCTCGATTCTGACAGCTTGTTGAAGTTGCATCTTCCGAAGCACTGATCTAACTTCACTCCACTCCACCTTTGTTCCCCCCCAATTGTTACACTACTGCCCTTATTTGCCCTACATAACTCTCTGTTACCTTCCTTCTGGATTAGATCATCGCCTTCAAGCCTTATATCCCCTCCGATCCCACCAGCATCTAAAACATGATTTTTTGAATTTAATATAGTTGGGCTTAGGGCTTGTTCTTCGATAAAACCTACAAGTTTATTACCTCTTTCTTCCAATATAACAGGATCTCACCGAAACTCACGTCAGTGATCTGCTCTGATACCACTCGTGTTTATATGGATTGAAAATCAACATGTGACGCTTAGACTTCTAGAGAGAAGGGGGAGCATCCTTGTGCTCTAAAAGGTGAAAAGACAAAATCCCTTTTGACATCAAATTACTTGTAAGGACTAGGGAGCCATAAAACTTGGATATTTTATTAAAATGCCATGAAAATTTTTACCTTTGTCTGTGTGTAAATAAGTGATCTTTCACTGTTTGGCATCCTCACACCAGTGCAATAGCTAACTAAACTTAAACAGTTCCCATTTCTGCACATTCTCAAGTCTAAAGCCACTCGACAGTGCAGCATATCCACACTCACAGTCAAACTGAAATTCAGCTGTTAGAAAATAAGGCTTCACAAGGAACAAGCAAATACGAAAGGTTGTGAATCATTCAAATTTCTCCAACATTAAAATGGAAAGAGATTTGATTAAGGCAGAAATGTTGGTGGCTAGAAGCAAAGTTCTTAGTAGACATTTTTGGCCTAGACTTGTGGCTATTATAAGTAATTGGACGAGCTGTATCAATCAACTGAAGATAATTTTTGCCACTGATATGCCCGGGTGTGCGTTGATTCTCATATTAGAAAATGTGAGTGAGGATGTCTCTGATCAATTTAGAGTTCAGAGGGATGATAACAATATAGTCCAATAAAGTTTTAGTAGTCACCAAGGAGCATTTTGGGATTGAGACTTGGTTTAGACTGTTATGGATTGTTTCGGGTTACAAGCATATTATAACTTACAACTATTGTTTATCTTGTATTGGTTTTTTCATAACATCCAGTCATTCCATGGGCAAAATACGGGTAGGGTGGGGTAACTCTCACGAGAACCTTATTGGTAAAGATAAATCTGTATTGGGGGGGGGGGGGGGGGGGAGGGAATTAATAAGTAAGTGGGCACTGATGTTAATGTATCTTATTGTTGCAGGCTATAGAATTAAAACCAATTGGTGGTATCAATATTATATACAAAGACAGGTTTGTAAAAACTATATCTATTGGATTCAGATTCGTGTATGGATACACTTCTGCACGTGATGTTTCTGAATTAGACATTTTCTCATACACAATAAATTTAGGGGTTGCCATGTAAAATAATCTATCAATTCAATTTATCAATGTCTGCTGTTATATGCAGTATATCTTTCCTTAAATTGGTCAATCGTTAGGATGTTTACATATGTGATCATACTGATATATGCGTATTTAATGTAAAAATACCTCTTAGTCAGCAAAGTAAAAAGGTTTCAGCAGTAGAATCTTTACAGGAATTTTTTTGTTTCCTTCCGTACTGTTTAGGTCTCGCACACGATTGGCAATGAGCAAGTATGCTGAAGCTCTTGAAGATGCTAGAGAAGCTTTGACATTTAGAACTCAGTATGTTGAGGTAAGCTAAATTTTAAATTTTAAGACCACTGAGTTAAATGAGAAATCATTTTTCCCCCCTTTTCTTACAAGTTTGTGGTATTAGGATTGCTGTATCTGGTTCCAGCTGGAATGACTATATTTTTTCTCTTGAAATCTCCTCTATGAAGAATGAAAGAGTTGGTTAGCTTAATAATGTAAATGATAATAGGCAATAGCATAGCAAATCTACTGACTAAATATAAAAAAATTTTCATTGGTCAGTCCAACTTTCTTATAGTTAAGATAATTAGAAAATTGATTGAGCATTACTTTTTCTATATTACTAGTGATTAATGTATTTGCCGAAATGGGCTTTTTCACATAGTAGTTGTAAAAAGGGTAGGCATTTCTTATCTATTAAGATAGCTTAGTAACGCTTCAATGGAATTCGTAACTCTGTCTTGCTCCCCCCTTAATTTTATTATAAATAGTAAACAGGTCATTTATAAAAAAAGTATTTACTTTTTAATTATTTGGGGTTTACTAAAGGCTTTTTTTTTTTTTCATGACTTTTGAAATGTTTTTCAGAGTTTCAGCTGCCAGATCTTATAGTTTAAAATCAGTGCAGCTAATTCAATGTTACAGAGACAAAATCCACAAAGATATTATTATCTTGCAAGTTTTATGCTTTCTACTGGAAGTTTGTGCACTCGTAGGATCTTTTGTAGCATATAAACAAATCTTGGTGCAGAATTCTTGGTGCTATTCTTATCATAGTATCCCAGGAAATGAGCATTCTTAGAGTACCTAGAGATGTTTTTGTTGTTCCCAATAACATAGCCACCATGGTATAATACGTTTTCTGTCACAGTTGAACCCTTGTGCATCCTCGTCCTTCTCATGGACGTTGCGAGAGAACATGCATAAGAGCCATTATTATATAGGCGGTTGCCTATTTAAGATCTTTTTTGGAATGACGATCCTATTCTTTCTGAACATCGTATATGTCTTATTTTGTGGATATATGATAAGAATCTACATTTTTCAGGGCCATATTTGCCAGGGTGATGCATTTTTGGCTATGAACCAATTTGATTTAGCTGAGAAGTCATATTTAACAGCTCTAGATATTGATCCATCTATTCGACGTTCAAAATCATTCAAGGTATTACTCAATTCCTTAAGGTCTAAATAAATTTTAGTTCTCTTTTCAGTAGCATGCAAACTTAACCAAGGTTTCGTGGAATTATGTGGGTCCCTAGAACTGTGGCTTTCTGAAAGTGAAAAGGATAAATAACACAGTAAGAGACAAAATTGAAAGTTAGACCATATCCAGTGTAAATGCTAAAGTCAGTGCTATATCAAGTGTGAAAATAACATGTTTGATGCATCCCTACTCAGCTTTCCTTTGGCAAGGGCTTCCTAATTTGTGGTCCAATAAATAATGCTATTTCAGATGTCATACCTATTTTTTTTGTCATGATTATTGTTGACGGTTAGATTTCGTCAACAATAAACCCGCCGGATTACCTTGAAGTTACCTTTAGGATTACCGGCTTGTGGGGTTAATGAAAGTGTGGATTCTAGTTTGATTTAAGTATTTTTGTGTTTTAGCCAACTGTATGTAAATGAGCAGGAAGAATTTTATAGTGGTTCACTCTATAATATTAGAGCTACATCCACTGTATATATTATATTTCTTTGGTAGAGATCGTAGTTTACAATGAATCCTATCTCTCTCTCTCCCTCATTCTTTTTCTTTTAGAATTTTTTCTGGCCCCCTTCCCTATTGGGATCCTTCTTTTTTTATACTCGGACTGCCTTCGCTGGGTGGGTTTCCTTCGTAGGTCGGAACACTCAAGTGCTCTAGGCCCAGACATAGCCCACTAATCAGTACTGTTCACTCAACCAATTAGTCTTCTATTACGGCTCTGTGAGTCTCCGTAATGCTTTTCTGTCCCCTGAGGGGGGGGCTGTTTGTAAACTTGCAATAAATGCTGTCAGACCTCTCTTATCTTTGCATGTAACCCATTATGTCGAAAAAGGACGTTCCCCTCGTCGTCAGTGGTTGTTTAACCTTTCTTGCCTCTTCTAGTGATCTCTTCTGCTGTCGAGGGATTTTGTCGTGTCGACCCAGGCGGAATCAACCGTGGGGTCGTCACCCTAATCATGGACTTCATCTTCGGGCTCTATAGCTGATCGTGAGGGAAACGAAGCGCCGAGGGTTGGGTGCTTGGCGGAAAGCAAGTATAGCCACGTGTCGTGGCGCCGTTGGCCCAGGTGTCCATCACATTTTCCCACACAACAGCCACCCCCCAGGTCGAGGGCTCCTTTTTTTTTGGCGGCCTCGAGCTCTAGGTTCGGTCTGTCCTTTCAGTGCTTCGGGTGTGGGAAATCGGTCCCGAACCTCCGTCCGTAATGATGGCCTGGGTACCTTGGGTGTATAACCGTTGCGTCGATTGATCTGGCATAATGATGAGTATCCGTGTTTCAAGAAAACGAATATAGACCGTCGGATCCGCATCTTTTCAATTTTCCGCCCTTTCCCTTTCCGTCAGATACGGAGAGTGATCCCTGGCCGTTGGTTTTTTCGGGGTCTTCATCCGACGGTTGGGGGGGGTCTTTTTTCCCGACTCTTTAAATACTCTCCATGGACCTGAGGATCATTTTTTCCTTCTTCGAAACTTCAAAAAAACTTCTTGCCGCTGCTTTGCCGGGACATCCGTACTTTTGCCGGAACCCTGCTTTGCTGAACTTCCGCCTTCGTCATTCCCGTTCTCCGAGGTGTACTACGAAGCCGTCCCGAGTTTACTTCTTCACCGGTAAGTTCCTGGATCATTTCTTTCCTTGCGTACTCGCAGGGTTTCCCCCGTTGTGTACCAGGAATGTGTAAACATATATGCAAAAAATGGGAATAAACATTTAGTTAAAGAGACTTTACTTTGTTGTATTCTGTCGTATTGGATGACCTGGCTTTTATATACGCGCATTTCTTGTCTGTTTGTCTTTGGTTTCTGGGTTCTGGGGAACCCGCGGTTCCTATGAACACTCGTCGTTACCATTCTTGTATGAATGGTCGACGCTAACCAGTCGTCGCTTAGAGTAGTCGCTGTTTATTCCTCTCGGCGTTAGGGTTTAACTTAGCTTTTTGTCCTTGTTATTACCAGAACAATGGCCCAAAGTTCACCCAGTCGAGAGGATTCTCTTTCTGTCGTCCGTTCTGACCCTCCTTCGGTGGTAGAGATCTCATGGACCTCGTCGTCTTCCGGTGTCAGCCCTATGCTTAGGGATATCGAGGATGTCGTGGGAAGTTTTGAGCCGGGCGACGATTTCGGCAGTGAATTCGGTAGCGTCGACCGAATGATAGACGAAGTGGTCGAGCAGATCCCTTTTGCGGGGGGGAGCGTAAGCGGAGTAACCGCGGCGACGGTGGATGCCCCCCTGGCTTCCACGAGCGGAGACCCAGATAGGCCCTCCTTTACAGCCGACGATGTGGCGTCGAAGGTCCGAAATAAGGATATCATTCGGGCTGTGAAGGAGGGATGTATTGACGGGAGGTGGTTCGAATACCTCCTCCCGGATAAACATTTTAGGACCAGTATGCCGCCGACCGGATACCTTCCGGTCTACACAAGAGCGGTAACTGCAGGGATGACTCTCCCAATTCATCCTTTCGTAAAAGATTATTGCCACTTTTACGGCATCTCTCCTGCCCAATTAGCGTCGAACTTCTGGTACTGCTTTGCGGGAGCCCGGCTTCCCTTGGCACAGAAGCTCGACACGGAAAC